ATTCAATTTAGCACTTTTGGCTCATCTTTATTATTCTGCTCCATTAACACATTCATTTTATTGTGATTTATTTGTATGTTATATTACATGATTTATAGACTTCATTGACTTCATAATGACTCTGCAATGTGATGTTTCTATTTATTTATTCTAAGTTAAAGTTAATCTACTGATGCTATGAAACAGCCAGTCTGTGTCAAAGTGATGAATTGATCTTTATTTTAAAAGTCTTAATTCCCATGAAAATGAGACCATCATGGTTGTTCGATGCCGTAGTTCACATATTGTTAACGTTACGACCGGTCTGACTAGGGAGTACCAATATGGCAGCCGGTGGCTTCACTTCACCCCCGTACTACCAGTGCTCATGAGCAGCTGAATCCAGCAGGAATTTTTCTGCAGCTACACCGAATGAGTTAAATTAAAGGTTGATGCTGGAAACTGCGGCTTATAAAGCGATTATAGATGTTGCAACTTTGTGTTGCACATGTTTAGTCCTTGTTATCATCGGTTGCTACTGCAGTGAATCACAAACAGTTTAAACCTTATGCAATGTGATTTGTACAATTAAACATGGATAATTAGGTCTAAGGCAATGTTTGCTGGATTTAAGCTCATCTGTTTACAATCTCTACACGTTTTTTCCTAATCACTCGTTTGTATTACGACATTTAATTGAATCGTGGCTCAGATTAGCAGAAGCTCGTTAAAATACGACACTCGGTCTGCTTTTTCAAGCCTAAACTTTCCCCCCCAGGTGTTTTACTCACAGCCCACCTGGCTTCCTGTTCCTCGTTATTCTCCCTCCGGCTCTGCAGGACTTTGGCTTTAACATCGATTTATCTCTGGTTGCCTTGAAATAATTTCACACACTGAGCACACAGTGAGCTACGGTACGTTTGTTTATTTTAAGTTAGGCGGAGCATCAAACAGGAGCATACACAAAGCTTAAAATATAAAGAAGCAGCAAAAACAGAATTTGGAAGCATAGAAAATATCAACATAAATACAAAATAAATTATATTTATAGCAGAAAGCTAAATAAGTTCATTTCTTTTTAAATTAACCTTTTAAGGCAAGCGTATCAAATCTGAAAAATGAGCTGTTGAGACCTCTGCATCATCAGTGCATCAAACCCTGATTCACACAGACAGACACCTATAGTGAATAGTTGGAATGAATCAAAATTGATGCAAAATATGATCTAATTTAACTGTTATTTTTCAGGAAGTTATAGTTCTAAGTTCAAAATTAGAAAAAAATATTTTCTGTCAATTATTTCTTGGTTCGGGCTCTAAAGTGTTAATGCTGGTGATAAATACGTTTAAGAAAAGAAAAAAAGTGTTTTAAAGATGATAAAAACATTAAAAACTATAATATTTTAACCTTCGCAATTCATTTCTCTCATCATCAGTTAAAATAGTAGCTTTGATCATTTATGAAAATGAGCTTGTACTTTGGTTTCCTGCTCCTTTTAGTTGCGTCTCTGCTTTAAGACAACCGAGTCCAAAAAATCAGGTCATTCGGACTCTGGAGGACTTGACTGCATGTTGAGGAGAAAGTTCAGCCATTTCATTCAGCTGTGAAATCATCTAAAAGCTGCAGGACACTAAACCTTAAGGACCATCTGCTCTTCCTGATGCTCGTTAGGAACAGGTTTTAAAGGAAAAGTCCGGTCAGCACGGAATAATCAATGGATCATTATTTATACCTAAAACTGTCAGGGTTGGGTTGAGGTTTTGTGGACCCAAATGCAGAGGTGGGGAGGCAGAGGATGATGATGAATGAAGCACTCAAGGCAGGAATTCAAAAATCCAACATAACAAAAACAGAAAAACCAGAACCTTGGAGACATCAGGGAAAACATAGATGCAGAGCCAGGAAAAGATGAGGAACCAGCGCTGAGGTAGTGCACAGGGAGAGTATATACGGG